GGATTTGCATTCCGAGATTGATATAACTTTAACATCGGCGTTGTCGTTTGTCTGACGTTGTATGTTAGGAGCAGGAGTTGACGGAGTGGAGCTTGGTGACGCAGGAGCTGGCGGTTGAAGGGAGTTTTAGATTGCATCCATTCACCTTGGTCTTGAGTATTGACGAATTGTCTCTTTTGGATAGCTCCTACAATCCTTTGCCAACGCATCTCCTGGATACATAAGGCCCTGACCATGGGTGGGTGTTCTTCCCTCCTTTTCTATCAGCTTGTCTGGAGTTCCAAACTAAGACACATTCACCCTTAGCAGATGAAGTTTTCGATGTCTGTCGTCGCTGATTTTCACGTCTGTGGTGGTCTTGTGAGATGTTGATGTTAGATGCTTTTGGATGGATGACTTTCTGAAGTTGGCTAATGAACTTGAGGTGTTCTGTCAGTGATGTGTTGTACGGTAATTGACTTCAGGTTCAACAATGTCGTTCGTGCTCACCGATGATGGCTCTGCAATATCCACTGAGAGAACTGCAATATGACCATACATCAGGTAGAAGTCATTGTATCGTGTTGATGTTTGCCGACTGGTGTTGAACGCATACAGGACACCAGGAGGTTTTCGTGATGATCTCCTTCTCTCAGTTTCAGGAGAGACGTCTGTATGGTGCAGTTGTATGTCTCAACAAAGTCATTTGCTTGAGGGTGGTAGGGACTAGTACTGCATTGTTCTACCCCAAGAAGGGCGTGGAATTCTGCAGAGACCTTGTTTATGAGTGTTCTTACACACCTCTTACACGTCTGCGAGTTTGTTTGTTATTATTATCAGTTACATTATCTGTTGTTATGTCAACATTATCGGGTTTTTTCAGAGTGTAAATCCCCTGGATGCCACAGCGACACATATGCCCCTCCTCTTCAACCCTCACTTCGAAATCGAATAAAATCGGATATTTACTCGAATAATTAAAGTAGAAAAATAGCATATTTGTGATCACGGTTATCAAAGGACTAATGATAAGTCTGAAACGTCGCTGAAAAGCCTAGAATCGTTAAGAATGTTTTGGAAAATACGCATACACGAACGCCGAAGTGTACGTTCCGCCATATTCGATTTTGTTTACAAAATGCCGGTTACGGGACGCCTATTCGATCAGGTATATTTCAAACTCAGTTGCTATACATGCATCCCTGAATTCCTCATACATTTTCGAAACAATGAATGAATGGTCTTTGTCACCAATGCAAATTATCTAGATGAAATCATGTGAAATAAATTAGGTATGGAAACGAAAACTGTGCTCGGAAAACTGCACTTGCTGAAATGTAAACAAAGCAAAATTCAGATTTTACACCGTGTAGCATTTTTAGAGGTACTTTCGTCTAATTCTTGCACACATTGGCTCGATCACGCGTTTGAGAATATTCATGGGAAGGGTATCGTTGCACCAATTAGGAAGCCGTAAAAGTTTCCGTCCTGTGTGACGCCATTACTGACGCCAAATCACGCACAACGATGACGGTAGTTATCTGCATTTCTGACAAAATACATATTAAAACATGGTAAAAAAATAACAGTACGCAGATTGTCAGAATGTTTCTGATTACTTACGTGACACATTTATGTGTATACGATCCCTCAATCAACGAAAACCTCCTCTGGAAGTCCCGCGTACTGTTAATTGTCAGTGAACACGCCATTTTGTAAAAGTCGGTCACCGGTCGTCATGTCACATGGAAGTAAACATTGTTGTACATATTTGGTAATTTCTTTGAGGTGTAAACTTTCAACTTGGCACCCAGCGTGTTCTTGGATTTTGTCTAGTTTGCATTTTCATCATCGCCTTGATAATCCACAGATATGACGGAAACCGTTTTGTGTAGGGTCTCATTATATATGAGTAGTAAGCTGCACATAGGATGACGTCACTTATGACAGTGGTCTTATGTATTAATGCGCTACTGCAATCATGGGAATAGACAAAATTCATCGGTTTGATGCTAAAAAGGTGCGATTTTAGGGTGTGTAAGAAACAGATTACTGCAATCATGCCTGTCTGATACCATTGATCTTACAACTCGTTGTTACAAAGCGTATCTAACTCGCTTTCGCTCGTGAGATACGTTTTGAAACTCGTGTAGTAATATCTATCTCTACCATGGTCGTTGATTTGGATGCTTGATTCTCCATGGCGGCATACAGTCTCATATATATGGCTACACCCCAGCTGTCTTGTCTTGGACTGGCTCTATTCACTTTGTGCAGTAATCCACCATGACGACCATGCAGTTGTAACCGTCTGGCGTAGGAGTAGGGGAACAGAGGCAAATGGCAACTTGCTTCCAATGATTGGCAGGGACGGATACAGATGTCATCTCTGGTGACATCTTCTGGAATCTGTTGCTGGACCTTTGGCATCTATCACACATAGATACGCCTCTTTAGGTTAATATATATATTTGTAAACAATGTGATTATTAAAATTTATCATCACCATTCAAATTCACCATCTGGAAGCTGTCACAGATAACGCGGATTCTAATCAAGTCTGATCTTCTTTGACATTGACTGCAAGAACTGGTTAACTGACTTCTTCCTTCTTCCTACGAGCGTGAAAAAATATACACAGAAAATGGAAGGATTTTAAACCCTAAAGTTATCCTATCTACATGGTATTAAGCATTCACTACCGACTTCCTTCAATACACAGCCCTGTTGAAGGACCGGATAAAATACCATCTCTTAATTCTGATTGGTCAATTTTCGCCTGTGTGATTAATGCAACAAAACTAGTTTAACTATTTTAAATTGTTGATATCTAATTAATGAACAGGTAATGTTGGTAAAACATTGCTTTTTTCATCATTATATGCATTTATAATAATTATCAGACAAAGTTACATCATGCACCATGTATATTGGAGCACTTTTTACAATCCCTGGTCTCGGCCAATAGCCTAAAGGCCAAGGTCAGGTTTTTCACCGTTTTGGTAAAATATTTTTGTATCCTTGTCAGTTTCTGATGCATGCTACCTGTTCAGGCATCTTACTTAATATTTACATGTTTCTTAACAATTTGTACTACATCACATGTCATTGCATGAGTCCATGTTGACGTTATTGGGAAATTTAGTTGCATCATACCTTCTGTTGCATATGGCACAAAGATTGACAATAAAGATTATCCTACGATTGACAGTATTTCGAATGGATCTTGGGAATACTTTTGGGGATGAGAAGTTCAAGGTCTATAAGAAGTTCAAATCTCCCTAAAACATTTGTGGTTACATTTTCTCAAAACGTATTAATGCTTTTATAATTAAACTTAGTTTTTTGTCTGTAGGAAGGGGCTATGCTTTCAAAATGTTTGGTCAAAATAAATGAAAGGTCAAGGTTAGTGTTAATGTTTTTGCTTTTATCGATTTCTGAGTCATGGTTACTTTATGTCTGTGTGTTACTTTATGTCTGATATATACAATCATAAGTAAATGTCCGTGAATGTGCTGCTTCTGTTTCCGCAAAGTACTGTTACATGCCTATTCCCAAATTGAAACAATTCGTTACCCAAGAAATATGTAGGTAAAAACAGTAGTGTGAAACCAACAAACAACCAACACATAGTTTACAATCAACAATTGTATTACAATTTAACTACGTTTACAAATTATTGCACCACAATTACATTTGCAGTACACAATAGAGTAGAAGTTCACTATTAAATGGCAATACATAATAATATAGCAATGGTCAGTAACAAATACACAAACAGTGGTGATAGCAAGAGTCAATAATACTTATATATTCACCCAGCAGCGACAGTTGTCACGCTTCCGAGATAACTCTAGGCTGGGAATCCGGGTAAATATTTATTAGATAAGTCATCTTCACACAAAATGTGGTCTTGATGAAATGTCAGATTAAATGTGAGATGAAATGAGAGATTATCTAGTCACGCCTTCTTCCTCTTATATATTCCAAACACTTCCACAATATTCCCTAGTGCTCCACATCAGTTCATGCTGTTCCGGAAGCACATCACACTAGCATCTAAACATAGTGCCCATTACCAATTACTTAACTTAAGTGTTGGCGACCATTATCAATTGCTAATCACCTATCAGCGCCAATCATCTGTTGGCTTCCGTTGTAAGCTTGTACCCTTTGTTATTTTCAACCTTTTGTTATCTTATTTATTTTGTTATGTATATGCTCTCTGCCGCATGGCATTCATTGACATCCATATATTCTCTTCCTAATGTGAGTTACTTCTAAATGCCTTTCAAAGACCTCATCTAAATATAGTAACTTGATCCCTTCTGCTTACATTAAATTGTACTATTGCAAATCACTGTCCAAATACAATGCAATGAACTATTATTTATATTCTTATGAGGTTATATTTGTTGTGTAATGTTGACGACTGGAAGACAGTAAAGAATGGCGTCCAGCCGCCGTTTTGTTGTTTTTCCAGACAATCATTTCGACATATTCATCTTAACCAAGGTTTGTTTTCTGATGGGCCCTTTAGAAAGAAAATATTGTTTAGGTCAGGTTTGGAACTGGTTTCTGGGCGGACTACTAAGTTTACAAATTTTGATGAAATTTGATAATTAGAAAGTTTCAAATACACGATATGTCAAATTCGATAACCAGATGAATTGGGCAATTGATGTTTAAAGGTAAAACTTGACAATGACATTTGTGACAAAATCTTTGACATTAATGGAATTTGTCTACAATAGTAAGTGATTTATGGGTTATCAAATATGCAAGTACATCCTGTGATTTGGAACTACCATTTCCATGATCCCATATTTGCCAGAGTAAAGTACATAATTTCAGTCACCCTGTGACTAGTATCTCAACGATAATTTGTCAAATACTCTTGGATTTGTAAGTGAGGCCTATATAAATGAGAAGAGGAAACTTCATATGTATATTGGTCAAATATTATATGTAATGATGGACTTAAACCATGTAATGTTTTGTAATGTGTTGTATATGTTTAGGTACACCTTTGTTGGAAATGCAGGAGGAGGTCAGCGACCAGCCACCGCAGCAGATTCCAGGTAGAATCAACGACTACATGTGTTTTGCACTTAACTCTTACACAAAAGAGAACTCTGTTCCTATATATTAAAAGTTTACATATTGCACAGAACAATAAGGTATGGAGAGACATTAGTGACAAAATCTTTGACATTAATGGAATTTGTCCACAATAGTAAGTGATTTATGGGTAATCAAATGTGCAAGTACATCCTGTGATTTGGAACTACCATTTCCATGATCCCATATTTGCCAGAGTAAAGTATAGAATTTCAGTCACCCTGTGACTAGTATCTCAACGATAATTTGTCAAATACTCTTGGATTTGTAAGTGAGGCCTAAATAAATGAAAAGAGGAAACTTCATATGTATATTGGTCAAATATTATATGTAATGATGGACTTAAACCTTGTAATGTTTTGTAATGTGTTGTATATGTTTAGGTACACCTTTGTTGGAAGGGCATGAGGAGGTCAGCGACCAGCCACCGCAGCAGATTCCAGGTAGAATCAACGACTACATGTGTTTTGCACTTAACTCTTACACAAAAGAGAACTCTGTTCCTATATATTAAAAGTTTACATATTGCACAAAACAATAAGGTATAAAGGAGGTTCCTTACATCATAAATATTAAGAAAAGGTTCAAGCGACGACCCAATATGGAAACCCTCGTAAAAACTGATATAGTGGTCTAAAACCACTTGCTGTACATACTATTGCTAACTGTTATAGACGCTTGTTATGTTAATGCCAACTGTGGCGATGGGAAAGTTTAAACATGATTCTATGACGACTTTTTATTGTTTTGCCTAGTGTGAAGAGTCCTTACAGGATTACACTTGTTTAAAGGGGAGGAAACTCTCAAAAACTTTCATTAGCTGACATGTCAAATTAAAATAATAACTTGCAGACAGTCAGTTCGACACATGCCTTTTGAACATGGCTTGGTTTTTGACATGAAGGTATTATGTGGGTAAGAGGATCAATGATCAGTCGACTTAGAGTAGAGGAGACTTCATTTATAGATATGCCAAACGTTATTAAGAAGGAGGTGCAGTATCCTGAAGTTTTGACGATAACGTATATTTGTTTGGAATGTGTTGTGTAGATGATGCTTTGTCAGACGTTCATGATGGCAGCGACCGGTCATCGCAGAAATCTGAAGGTAGGATGAACAAGAATTTTCAGTTTGCATTTAATTTTTGCACATGAGAGAACTCCTATATGAGAGCATGACGTGCCACATAAAATTATTTTATATTTGAGAGAGTAGAATAGTTTTCATTCACTCAATGAAATACTGTCGTTCTCAGCCGAGCGAAAATATCTATTTCAGAAAACTAAATTTTCATGCAAAAGAAGTTTGAAAAATGGTCTTATTTTCCAATGATCTTTTTATATAACGTTCGACACAAGGTACTTTTCCAGTAATAACTTGCTAATTTTCATTGTTGTAGATATGATTGTTGATTTCTTAAAAGTACAGTGAGTGACATTTCTACCGGGTCTTATGTATTAAATATCACAATCTTTGACATTAATTGAATTTGTCCACAATAGCAAGTGATTTATCGGTAATCAAATTTGCAAGTACGTTCTGTGGTTAGGAACTATCACTTCCATGATCCCATATTTGCCAGTATTTGGTACTCCTTTGTTGGAAGAGCTTGAGGAGATCAGCGACCAGCCATCGCAGCAGATTCCAGGTAGAATCAATGACTACATGTGTTTTGCACTTAATTCTTACACAAAAGAGAACTCTGTTCCTATATATTAATAGTTTACATATTACACAAAACAATAAGTATGAAGAGACATTAGTGACAAAATCTTTGACATTAATTGAATTTGACCACAAACTAAGTGATTTATCGGTAATCAAATGTGCAAGTGCATCCTGTGATTTGGAACTATCACTTCCAAGATCCCATATTGGCCAGATTATAGTACATAATTTCAGTCACCATGTGACTGGTATCTCAAGGTTAACAAAACAAATACTCTTGGATTTTTACTTGAGGCCTAAATAAATGATTAGAGGAGACTTCATATGTATATGGGTCAAATGTTATGTGTAATGATGGACTTGAACCATCTAATGTTTTGAATATGTTCAGGTACTCCTTTGTTGGTAGAGCTTGATGAGATCAGCGGCAAGCCATCGCAGCAGATTCCAGGTAGAACCAACGACTACTTGTGTTTTGCAATTCATTCTAAAACAAAAGAGAACTCTGTTCCTGTATATTAAAAGTTTACATATCGCACAAAACAAAAAGGTATGAATAGGGTGCCTGACATAATAAATCATTTAGAAAAGGTTTAAACGACGACCCAATTGGCCGATATCGAAACCCTCGTAAAAACTGATATAGTGGTCTAAAACCAATTGCTGTACATACTATCGCTCACTGTTATATACGCTTGTTCATGTGAATGGCGATGGGAAAGTTAAACAATGTTTCTGTAACGACTTTTCTTTGTTTGGCGTTTAAGGAACAGACGGCGAACAACCTTCGGAGTAGTTTCAAGACTGAAGGGACATGCAATTTGAAGGTAATTGCGTGTCATTATTATCCCGAAGTTGTGGATCGTTGCTTATAATACCAATCACTTGAGTCTCTTTAAATTATCGAGTCTGGATAAGACAATCCTGTGAAAGACATCACAAGTATTGATCTGGGCAATTTGGATACGATAAACATGCACCAACCAACTTTGCGAGCCTGACCAACATATCCCGGTGGTCGACTCTTTTACTATTTTGCAATGGAATAATAATTTTAGAAATAACGATCAAAACAAGGTACTTTTCCAGTAATAACTTGCTAATTTTCATTGTTGTAGATATGATTGTTGATTTCTAAAAAGTACAGTGAGCGACATTTCTACCGGGTCTTATGTATTAAATATCACAACGAAAATGTACATTTACAACTGCATGTTCCTTTGATAATCGATGTAGTAAAACCCTTAGTCAACAATGTTTAAGAGCTTTGCTGTTCATCGTCTTGGTAACAAACATACATCATAAAACTATCATAGTATTTGGTTCATAGTATTTGTGTTTTATATTAGATTTCTTAGACCACATTTTGTATGCAGATGAAGTTTATGACAGATGCACCAAAGAACATTATGAAAGAGTAACTTTACCACGAAGAATCAAGCGTCAGATTTGGCTTAGTAACCTCTTCTTCTATTAAATTATGTTATGCAACTGGTTGGACACTTGTCGATGCTACCCGTGAAGATCCGGGGTAGAATAAGTCTTCAGCAACCCATGTTTGCCGCAAAAGGCGACTATGCTTGTCGTAAGAGGCATCTAACAGGATCGGGTGGTTAGGTTCGATGACTTGGTTGATGCATGTCATCGATCCCAACTGCGTGAATCGATGCTCATGATGTCAATCACTGGATTGTCTGGTTCAGACTCGATTATTTACAGACCGCCGCCATGAAGCTGTAATATTGCTGAGCACGGCGTTGAACGGCAAACAAACAAAAAAAACTTGTCGATGCGAAAACGTTTTTTATACAAGCGGGGCTTGCCTGGTCCTGAAGGAAGACATGTCATTTGTAAGTGCGAGTGTTAGTGTCACGACACCCATATTTTGTTTTCAGAAAAGGAAACTCATTCCTCATTCAAAATATTTGGTGATAACTCCATGTTTCCCGGTTGTTATACTAATGTGACGGAGGTGATCCCATTTTATTATTCTCGTGTTATAGCTCAACTGACAGAGATGTGGTTATTCCTTGAATACTGCTGACTGACAATACATTCACTCAGCTGATTTCGTAAATTTGTTCTGCTCATCACTGTCAGCATGTGTTTTTTTGTCAACAGAAACCGCCTTCCATTGATCAGACTACACAACGTACTACCATGAAGATGAATATTCTACTTTTTATCTATCAGTTTGCTGCATGATGTACACAGAGTGGACTGTACAGAAAATGTTTTGCCACGTAGTCTACCGAAAGTACGATCACAAGTTCTTAGTGTGTTTAGATGGTTAGTTCATCATTAAAACACGATTCAGTGTTTTGTCATCTCGTGAACAAGTTATGAATGAGTAAGCGAGATGTATTTTATGCCATTTTAAGCAATATTCCAGCAATATAGCGACGGCGGACACCAAAATATGGGCTTCACACATTGAACACATGTACCGGGTTCTCGGCGTGGCGAGCGAACGCTTCAACCACTAGGCTACCCCACCTCGCTGAACAACGTTTGAATATACAAACATTCACAGTTTACATAATAATCAAATCGATAAACAGTTCAGTACAACGTAGGGTACTACGATAATCTGTGGGAGATATCATCAAATAAGGGACCGGGGAATGTTCCATTAGCCTCGCATTGTAGCGAAATATATTGTGACCATTTCGTGCAGTGTGAATTAAAATATCAAGAAGTCATCTTTTAATTGACAACTGCATTTATTACGCTGTGACCTCATCAATATTGCTAAAATTGGGGTGGCACTTTGGATAATCTCCAAATGTCTCTAAAGTGCCCTAATGTGTGCTTCTGACCGTCCAGTCCAGATCCTGGCATGCACATTGACAGAAGGCATGACAGAAGGCACGAAAGGCGGCTATCTGGCGCCTCAAAACTATATGCTTAGGACAGAGGGGTATGAGGACAGAGGGGCATTTACCCCGAGGTATAAGTTCAAATCACTCAAATATGTCATCAGAGACCAACAGTGTATTGATATTTTATGTCTAGCCATCAAACTCTTGGCGGCCATTTTGGAATTTGGGGCCACCAGGGGGCTCTGGTGACGGAGTTTCTACCTAAAAGTGTTAACTATCCTTCAGTAAGATCGTGTGCGAAGTTATATGCATATACGTCCTAGCACACTGTCTTAGTGTTAAAAGATTCAACAGTCGGCCATCTTGAAATTGGCGGCCATCTTTTTTTGCCGATTTTTCAATAGTCGAAAACGTCCTGTAGTTGTGAATATCTTTTGAGAAACACAATATGGCTATTTCGAAATACAACAAATTCTTTTTTTCATCAAAACATTGAACCTCATCTGAAATATGGAAGATATATTGATAATTGGTGGCCATATTGGATTATGCAAATTATACATATTTCCTAAACTAGAATTGCTTGGGACTTTTAGTATGTTGTTTTCGGGATCTTGTAGAAATGCATTGTGGTGAAATAAATTCTCTTGCAATTTGTTCCAAGTGTAACCTTATTTTGCCTGGACTATATATATATTCGTCATTGATACTACTCGGATATGCTTCTTGCCTTTTTTCAAGCTATAGTATTTGTAATATGCAAGCACACCATTATATTTGATTTTTAATATAAGAATAGTTGTATTTCCTTTCTTTTGTTTTGCCTCGGAAATTAAGAATGTACGTCAATGCTTACCTCATCAAAAGCTTAATAAAAATCAATGAATATATTTTGTAGTTTGTAATTCAAATGTCTGAGGGCTATTCTTCATGGTGCATACAAACGAGACCATATACAATTTATACTGAGTATTACATTTCAGATTCAGAATAAAACGTTTCAATCTGAAACACTCGCAAATGCTCAACTTGGTTATTATAGTCGTCGCGCGTGCGTGCCTGCGTGTGTGTGTGTGTGTGTGTGTGTGTAGAAGGGGGATAGGGTTACGATCCATTGGCCGCTGTGGGTTCCGAAATTGATGCAGAAGGTGAACGTGTGTGCGTGCGTTTTGTGTTTTTCGTGCGTTCATGTGCTCTTGCGTGTCAATGTATAAGTCGAGCTTAATGAATCCGTCGACGATGGAAGTAACCTCATAGGGGTATGCGGAGGAGCCTGGTGACATAATATTGAGAAGATTGTACAAAGATATACATGGGGTCAACAACGTCATTTTGTCCAGAGCAGTGTCATATCAATCCTGTGACCTTAAATGCCGTGGAACTGGAAAGTATGTTTTCCTGAGTATTAAGACTGGGAGTGACGACATCATGGTACCGCAGATGTACATGTACCGCACCCATTTGTGTAGTGGATATTGCGTCTGCCCGGAGAGGGAAAGATCTGTGATTCCATCCTAGACGTTAAGAGATGGTACATATTGGTACCCTGCTTGGTCAGGTCGAATACAGTATAATCTGTTAGAGCGCCGCATCCATGTTAAATTGTGGCATGGTGTCTCAGTGGAGTAGCACTCCAAAACCGGCATGTCATGTCTAGTACAATCAGCCACACACATCCTCATGCACGTCGCTGTATATGTCACTGTCTCGAATGACGTTAAACCCCATTTCAGTTCACCTCCTATTCATTCAAGATGTATTTCAAAGTAAGTAACAGTAAAATAACAAGCTAAAACGAAGCTATGATAACGAATGGCTTCACGGTATTTTGTTTATTAGAACGAAGAAATAATGCACTGAAAAAACAAGAATAACATCAATGAGGAAGGTATGAATAACCTCAGACAATCGACATATGAAGCGAAACAGCCGTGCCTTCGCAAGAACAAGATGACTGTCGTCCAGGTTTATGCTCAATCAAAGACGTGTTTGTGTGGAGCATTGCTCGTGATATCAGACCGTGGACTTATGTATTTATTTATACAGATGGACAAGCTTGATTGTTGCCTTAAGCACAGACAAGTGAGCACGCATATAGATATTGTAGCCATTTCAATTCTTTAAATGTGATGCTGAATGCGATAATAAATAGCAAACAAACAAACAATCAGGCAAACAAATATTAAAAAAATAAAATACAAAGTGACTTCTTTCAGGTATCGGAAGATAAACCAAAGAGTGAAATGGTGAATGCTGTTTTATGTATATACTTTCACATAGGACCCGTGAAGATCCGGGGTAGCATAGGTCTTCAGGAACCCATACTTGCCGTAAAAGGCGACTATGCTTGTCGTAAAAGGAGACTAACGGGATCGGGTGGTCATGCTTGCTGACTTGGTTGATACATGTCATCGATCCCATTTGCGTGGATCGATGCTAAGGATGTCAATCACTTAATTAATTGAAACAGCTGAGCATAGTAATATTTATAAAAGGAATAGGAGACAACAAAACAATGCCTTAAAGTTTGGTTTCACTACGAGAGGGGAGGAAATTGAATCTGATTCTTTGACATTTGTTAGTCCACAAAAAGGAAATGTTATCCGGGCTTCGACGCGCCATTCTAAAATCTGCGTATCGTGCCTTTTCTTTAAAATTGAAAAAAATGTTTCCTCGTTGTATAATCAGTGTTTCGGTCATGTATTCGCGAACACACAGAATCATGATATGTGTTGTTTATTTATTTTTTGCTTTACGAACATACATGTAGTCTACATCAAGATAACATAAGTGGATTATATTAACATACAGTATGTTTGATCATAACGAAAGCTCACAAACTGACCGGGCCTGTCTTTTCGATTTTCTGTTGAGATGGCATGCTAACCTAACTCTTTACTTTTTCTAAATATTATTTACATACAGCTGTAATTTATTTGACAAAATACAGTCACATCTCATCATTTGATTCTATTGCAATACAAATTGTGTTTTCTCGATTCCTCAATAGTGTATAATTTTCAAAGTGTATCCTACAGTGATAGAGCTATGACAAAGAAATATTATTATCTTTATTTATACAGATATTATGCAACAAAAACTATAAATCGGATTTTCACAAAGATAGTTTAAAAAACTTATTTCACTAGGTGTAATTTGACGGACGGACGAACCACAGAGTACAGTACTAAATATCAGTTGCATTAGCAAATAAAAGTGCGATTATTTTAGGAAAGAGTTATATACTCTTCAAAAAATGAAACTTGACATAGATGTAAAACCACTTTTTGCCAAATATCTAAAATAACTACATTTAATGAGAACCAAATAAGTCAAACAGAAAGATGATGTGTCTATAATTCGCGAAAACACATGAAAAGCACATAAACGTAGCGTTTGGGGATCAGTTTTACAGCTTCATCCAAACGCAACCGCCTGTAAAAAACGTGCAGCACAGGATCCTGCATTTAAGCATGCAGGCCCCCCTGCTGAATGGGTATAAAAATCCACATCAACGGCTGTTCATACAGTCCTTATAACGGCCGTAGAGGCGGTGACAGAATGCCAAGACTGAATGCAGCTCAACGGAACAACGCCATTGGGAGATTACAAGCTGGAGCAACTCAGCAAGAAGTGGCCAGGCACTTTGGCGTATCCAGACAGACAATCTCCGCACTGTGGACCCGATACAACAACACCAACGGAGTTGACGACAGACCAAGGTCAGGAAGACCGAGGGTGACAACCCAAGCACAAGATCGATACATCCGGCTGCGACACCTCCGAGACCGCACTACCACAGCCACGTCCACAACCACACAGATCCCTGGGATACGCAGAATATCAGATCAAACGGTACGCAACAGACTGAGGGAGGCTGGACTTTTTGCACGAAGACCTGTTCGACGTAATATATTGACCCCACGTCATCTGCTTTGGTGCCAACAGAGGGTTAGATGGGCACGTGCAAGGTGGAGAAATGTACTGTTTACTGACGAGTCCCGTTTCCTACTCACACGTGCTGATGGGCGCGCACGTGTGTATAGACGTCGGAGTGAACGTTACGCCCCCAACTGAGTGCAGCAGGTTGCCCTATTTGGCGGCGGGAGTGTCATGGTATGGGCCGGAATTCATCACGGTGGTAGGACGCCTCTCGTGCATGTGGCAGGTGCATTGACAGGTGTGCGTTACAGAGACTTGATCCTACAGCCTTAGGTTCTTCCTCACGTCAACGTTCATGGCGGACAGTTCCAGCAGGACAACGCTCGACCGCATATTGCACGTGTTTTTCAGGACTTCTTACAGCACAACAACATCCAGACATTACCTTGGCCAGCCCGGTCACCAGATTTGTCCCCGATTGAGCATCTGTTGGACGAGTTGGATCGACGCGTTCGCAGAAGGAATCCACCGCCCCAAACACTTCCGGCGCTTCTTGATACACTTCAGCATGAATGGCAGCACATCCAACAGCGTGTTATTGACAACTTGATTGCATCTATGGGTCGTCGGTGTCAAGCGGTGATTGATGCACGTGGTGGGCACAACCGTTTCTGACATTTTCTGTACCCCTGTGACATTGACTGTATCCTGTACGTGTGTCTGTCTAGGTGACACGATTAATGTTTTGAACATTGGGTTCATTGATCTTCAAACAATGTTTCAATTATGGTTTCTGTGTCCTATTTTGAAACAATGGCATTATATTACATTTTGAAAGTCAGTGTCAAGTTTCTTTTTTTTTGAAGAGTATATTTTGTTTTTATGTTCATAAATAACCAGTATTCTTTAAAGCTGTTTTGAAAAGAAATGATTACTTCCTTAAGAGGACATATCACATTGTACTTCATAAATGAACTGAAGTGAGAAGAGATTTCAGTTTCATATTGGTATTACATGTGTTTGACGGAAATTAAGAAACAGATAAAATAAGGCGAGATTAGGCCAGTTAGGAAAGGAACCCCGATCTATACTCAGTAACTTACTTGAGTTTCATATCGATATTAACTGATCGATATGACAGAAAAGAGGAAATATGAAATAGCACAATGAAAACTTTCATAATAGCGACTCATGGATGCGTAATGTTCACATCGCCAGGAAGCAATAGTCAGCAATTTCAGAATTATGGTGGAGTCAGCACAATGTTTGCTGGCTATGTAACTGTTTAAAACATAACGAACAAACTGTATACACCTCCAACTCTAGTTCCAGACACACCACACCTAATGTTCGTTGACAATGACAGTGACACCGGCTAAAATGTAGTGGTGTAACTTTTCCGCCTGCTTGACGTTCGAGAGCGGCTTGGTTCGAATGACTATAGTTGTGAAATTACACCTGAAAGATAAGGAATAAGTGTATCTCAACGCATAATGTACGGTACGCTATCAACAATTTCGGTGTATTTGTTTCTAAAGTGAAAAACTTTAAGGTGAAAATGATAGACAGAATTCGGTATTCTATCTGTCAAATACAGATCGTTTATCATGTGTCTGTTAATAAACACGTTAATGTTCATTTTTGTAGCATTTCCCCAAAGGTGAGTGGTACATATTAGACGTTTACCACATTTCTATCGTCATTTATCTAAACGTGGCCCTAAACTGAAAATAAACATAACACGGGTGTTAAGTGAACTCCAAATAGGCAAAGGGAAACGTTCTACGTTTGGAAATCCACACCTTTGAAGTTTTTGAACTGACAAACTCGTAATATGTTAATTTTAGCTTTTAGCTTCAAGCTAAAAGAAAAAATGCCCCAAGTTGAAAGGCCGAATATTAACTATTTAAACCTATTTAAGCTATTTAAGTCTTGTTGCCGAGTAATATATTTACAAATATTTACAAATTTACACATAATACTTTTCTAGACAGCCACAGTCAACAGATGGATTCCAAATTCGTGGTCAGCAACCTTTGTCCACAAGGAGCGGGCACAAAGGCATGACATGACATGTTCATTACCACACAAAAAGGAATCTTTCGAACACTGAAAAAAGTTGATTACCCTTTTTGCGAGCTCCTGGTGACGCCGCTGATTTTCAGCTGTCAATTCATAAGGTTTTCACCACTGCGGTGCCTTTTGCTCCCGAAAGAGTCTGTTTCGGCCAATGATCGAGACTGATTGTTCTCCGAAGTTGACTCTTTATAAAAGAAGGTGATAAATACCTAATAAATGTTTTTGACTCGCGTATTGAGTAATCTGTAACTAAATGAGAATATGAGGAATAATTCTGAACCCAATATTCTGGGGCTTCATTATGACCAGTCTCCTCGTCATCAACGTTGGGTCCGAAAAGGTCTGCTAGAACAGGCATGGCGCCATCAGTCTCCTCAGCAGCGCCCTTGTATGACATAACTGCAGCTGAACTTGTCCCGACATCTTCATCTCTGATATCCCAGTATCTGTGTAGAGTCTCGTACGTCATGCTTGATGTGTCCACACGTCCAGGTATAACATCATGATTGCCTCGTACTCTGGCGTCTCTCTTCTTCGATCTATGTGAAATGCAAATATATGTTATACAATGAACATTACGGGCGAATATGTAGAAAATAGATTTATGTGGTTAGACAACTCAAGTATAAGAAATCACCCACGCGTGCTTTGAATCTTAAAGATGTAGTGTAAAATCAAATTTAGCTCAATAATTTAGATGGTTAGAAAAAAAGAATTGAAAGACATCAATAACCTGTTTTTGCAAATCTTTCTGACGACTGACGCAATCGCAACACTAACAGCAACGACTAAAGCTGCTGTTGACATTACAACGTAATATGCTCCTCCGCCGCCTTCATCTGAAGGGGAACCATCGGTGGGGGTAGTCCCTGAAAATAATATCCATTATGTGTAATGCATCCACAGTTAAAGCTACAAGATTGTCGAATAAGACTGCATTAATCATTTTGTAAGTATACGAATTTGTTCAATCGGAATGGCATAGAGTATGAAATAGACTAAGCCGAGAGCCGCGATAGGGTCCTACGATCAAGACATGACTTAACATCACAGCCGAGAACACCATCATCATAAATCCTGTTCAGACTGTGGTGGCCGATTACCCTCGTATTTTCCTTTAGATTTTTCAAAAATATATCCCAAGGGTTTGCGACTGAAAAATTGATATCGCTGTACATCCAGATGGGTACACACGTTATCCTACACACGTACTATTGTTACTGTTATTATCGCGTCAGATGTTGGTTGGTTGGTTTGTTGTTTAACGCAGCACTCAGTAATATTCCAGGTATATGACGGCGGTCTGTAAATAATCGAGTCTGGACCAGACAATCCAGCGATTAATATCACCAGCATCAATCCACGCAATTGGGATCGATGACATGTATCAACCAAGTCAGCGAGCCCTACCACCCGATCCCGTTAGTCGCCTTTTACGACAAGCATAGTCGCCTTTTACGACAAGCATGGGTTACTGAAGACCTATTCTACCCCGGATCTTCACGGGTCTCACTTCAGATGTAATAGCAGACCGGTAAACCCGTTCACTTCATGTTTCGACGGTAGCTTACATGTTGACATGGTGGCGAATTGCGCTAGATTTCTAGAGTCTGTTTTTGCATGTGTTTCCTACAAGCTGTATGTTTGTTTGTTTGTTTGTTGTTTAACGCCGCACTCAGCAATATTCCAGCTATATGACGGCGGTCTGTAAAATAATCGAAAGTCAGGACCAGACAATCCAGTGATTGACATCATGAGCATCGACCCACACAATTGGGATCGATGACATGTATCAACCAAGTCAGCGAGCCTGACCACCCGATCCCGTTAGTAGCCTATGTGATGTAGGGTCATGTCGTGACCGTAGGACTCCATCGCGGCTCTCGGCTATAAAGAAACTATGTCATGTTCAGAAATAAATACAACTAAACAAAATTATTCTTCGGATATAATCTAACACCAGAATTAAGAGGGTTGAGAATGCTGATAATTTTATCTTCAAATTTAACTGAATTACCGTCGGGTTTGTCGGCTTGTGTTGTATTTTGCTGTAATATCCGAGGATCATTTTTCACTGTTGTAGTGCAATTGTGCGAGGAACAGTTGTTTCCGCATCCATTGTTCCGTTTGCCAGTGGTTTGGTTGCAAATACCACCGAGACATGACTCACAGGTATTGTTGCAGAATGTACCATGGAACCCTTGCACACATCCGTTTGTACAAGATCCTTCCTCTGTGTGGCATGTGCTGTTGACACAGTTCTCGGGGCACGGTAGACAATCGTTCGCGTAGTTTCCTGTTATGCAGCCGTGAATACAAGCTCCTGTATTGTCACATTTTAGACCTCTGCAAACAGGTTTACACTTGAACGAACAACGTCGTCCATACCAGCCGTCCATACATCCATGAGTGCAGTCCCCTGTCAGTTGCTGACATTCGAGTTGGGAGTGCACACTTTTTGCATCAGACAAAGAACGAGTACCAACTTTGGGTTTGGGGTTTGGACGACAATGTAAACTGCAAACGTCAAGACACAATGGACCATAAAATCCGGGTACACATCCAAATTTACAATTATCTTCACATCCCCCGACACAGTTCACGCCACCATGCCCAGCATGACATTCCTCACAAGTTCTTGTTTGCACATTACAGGATTTGCATCTTTTGGAACATATACTGCAGTGAGAACCGTAAAATGAATTATTGCAGCCAGCAACACACGAGGAGCCGAGATTGCAGTATTCCCCATCACAAGCACCTGGGCATTGCTTACACGTGTTTACAGGATCGTGACACGGTATTCTGCACTTGGAGCCTTGGAATCCTTGTTTGCAACCTTCCGTGCACCTTTCAATTCCGGTACCTGACATTTCACAGACATTGTTTTTGCATTGGCTACTGCAAGGGGAACTGCATCTCAGATCATAATACCCAGCATGACACTTTGTCAGGCAGTTTCCAGTCTCCCGATCGCAATCTGAACAGTGTTGATTCTCTTGGCAGTGTGCCGCTGAAAAACGTTAAGTAATATTTGTTACTGCTTATCTGCCATGTTCCGGAGTTTAAATGTAGGGAATCATACGTTGAGATACATTAACAACTATATGAAAAGCATGATATTTGTTTCTCAACCCATTCAGTCATTGAAAGTTAGAACACTTTACATTAGAATTACGGTACGGTGACGGGCGATGAAATGTGGGTTAACGTAGCGTTCCAGATTATTGCAAGTATATAGCATGCATTCATGCATGCATGCGTACAAGTGTATGCGCGTGTGTGTGCCTGTACTAATCCACACTTTACATGGTTACCCCACTCAAACAAAGTATTGTTATAAGGTTAAAATGCGTCTCAAAAACATTAGAAAATGGTAACAAATTAAACCGTTTATAGCTGCAATGATGAGTTGCATTAGATATACAAAGTTTGTGACAGGGAACTTTTAGTTCGAAAGGAATTAATAGATAAAAGACATTTCACATTTATCACAAGAGTATTCTGGACATTTCATATTTATCATTTGATTGGTTCCATGACATCGTCAATTAGTTAATGAAACAAGCAGAGAGGTAAGATACTTTTCATTTCTAGCATCCGGAGTGAGTCACAAAACCAATAGAGAGATGATCAATCTGGCACGTAGGCTTCGGTATTTTAACGATTACGACGAGTTCATGGTCAGATCTAACTTTTAACGAATCAAACTGAGGTATTGTGACATGTGACAAAGACAGGACAGGCCCGAACACTATAAAATGATACCTTCAACATTATGCGAGTAGAGCGGGGTTTGCAATCGATAGAGTCGAATCCCGATCGATCTAAGTACTCCCCATTTAGTGACGAGCCTGACCGGTCTGGTCCTGTCGTGTATTGATAGATAGACTGAGAGTAAGTAAAACTAATGTGAGTATAAAGCTAGTGTTGCGTTTCTTTATTATGCGAGTATTGATGCTGATGGAAACAACTTGAAGCGTCGTTAGACCGCTCACTCCTTAACGGAGCTGAGCTGATGCTGACAAGGCGAGTTGCAAAGTCATGGCTTAACTGACCACGATGACCAGGAACGGGTCGTTCCTGTAGTAGGGTCGTACTTGACACCCGAAAGCAGTTACGACAGTATCCTCATACTGCCGAGTGCCAGGCACCATCTCAATAACACCAAGTACCATTTAATGTCTTTTGGTAAGAAGAGGCCGGGGATCGAACCACCGTCCTTCCACTCTCCTGTGAGACGACCTATCATGGAGCCGGTTTCAAATAATATGACGGTGGGTTACATAGATTACACAATCAACATATTTTATAACGTAAAGTTACCTTGGGTGTGTGAAATCACAATAGCAGCGACCGCAAACAGCACGACAACCATCAGGAAGCTGCAAAGTAACCGAGATAGTGTTTTATACACATATGATACAACTTGAAACTCACCAAGGCTAGACCGTAGCGTTGTCAGAGTAATAATAGAGAAAAACAGAGTTCCTGATCAGCATATCATACAACCTATTCCATATGGATCATTTTGAAGAAAAAAACAGCTTTACGTCCGGTAATTGAATGTGTTGCTGTTTCGACAGCCGTGTTTGCATGTTTTGGTTTAATTGTCCTTTTAATAAGGAAATGGAAATACAAACACTGAATTCGAACGGTAGCAGTGTATTCAATATGTGACGGATAAAGAAGCCAAAAGAACGTAAACTCCGCCCGCAATATTCCAGCTGTATGGGGGGCGGTCGGGTAGCCTAGTGGTAAAAGCGTTTGTTCATCAAGCCGAAGACCCGGGTTCGATTCCCGACATGGGTACACTGTGTGAAGCCCATTTCTGGTGCCCCCGTCGTGATATTACTTGAATATTGCTAAAAGCGGCGTAAAACCATACTCACTCACTCCAGCTGTATGACGGTGGCCTGTAAATAGGCGCATCCAGGCCGGACCAGACAAACCGTGGATTGCGTGTTATCTAACCATGACGGCGTGGCTCATTGCTGACACTATTGTCTTGGATTGATAGGGGTGTTACAATCAGTACACGGACATGCTGCTCTCGTAGTAATGAACAAGAAGATTATTATTTGGTCATTCGTTACATTTTCAAATGGTAGATGCCCCTGAAAGGACAGGTTATGACGCTGTATTTGTCACGTACTATCACTTACCTGGACATCATCCAACGTCAACAGCAGATGACAATACTTTCGTGTAACAGCAACTGTCCTCACACAATGACAGCCTAGTTGCTGTACCGAATGTATGCAGTAAATGTGTATCCACAAATCAGAGGGCATAACTACTTGCAATTTAACTTCCGCGTTCCTCTAATTAGCTTAAAAAGTGATCAGAACGTCGGTAAAATACTCTTCGCTCACATGCTATCTCGGAATATATATACTGCTTGTGTTTTGTTTGTTTGTTTTACAACTCTGCACGCAGCAATATGACGGCGGTCTGTAAATAATCGAGTCTAGACCAGACAATCCGGTGATTAATATTACACGGAACTATCCAGCCCGTTGGCATATGATGACAGGCAATAGTGACCACCCGATCCATTAAGTCGACCGTACAACAAATATAACTTTGTCGCTGGAAACCTGTTCTAACCCGAGAACCTAAGGGAGTGAAACTGTAATTAACTCTATAATCTATGGTTAAATGTTTATTTCACTGCGAATAGCTGCAATATTGCCGACATGACGTGTAGAAATACCACCAGGCCACTCATTAACTCATTCAAGATATGTATCTCATTTAAAGTAGCATGAAATGTAAGATACATGCTGCGAGCTTCTCAAAAGGCAGGTTTGGCTTACATCCAGGGGTTTATTTCTAGATGTGCTTTTGGTACATATTAGTGGAGCAGCAGGTGTTACCAATTGAGGGGGGTACCCAAACCAGCACGAAAGTGTTGTACATAATTATTCAAAATGTTCCTGTTTTGAAAATGATTTTTGACGTGAATTCGTATGGTTCCAGAAATATTTTTTCTTTCAAACCAATGATTGATATTATGAGTCACGTTCCATGACCTCGGGGTTTAGTGGCACACGATCAACAAAATCAATTAGTCGCCCCTTACTACATACATGGACTACTGAGGACCTATTCTAAACCGGAATCCAAATTGGAATATACTTTTTAAACAGGCATTATAACTAGCTACGAGTCACGCCGTCATCGCGGAGCAGTTTATAGGTACAGTACAGTTTGCAAGGAAGCAGTTTGCGAGCATTGTAAGCAGGTTCGTTCACTTTTAGTTCACTATTGGTGTCATCGCCTACACTGCCTAACGCCTATCTCCTTATTACAGAAGCACTCACGATCACTATTAAGATGTTAATAAGCAACAAGCAATGGCCAAGTCACTGACAATGTAGTTTGTGTGATACCTTTTGACTACTGACTTTCAAACCCGTGAAGAACCGGGTTAGAATTCGTCTTCAGCAACTCATGCTTTTCGTAAGAAGATCGGTCAGGGGGGGAGTGATATATATTTGTATCAAATGCACAACTATGAAATACGTCACAAGCACAACAGCGGTGACAATTATATGAATAGCAACGAACATAACTTGGGTTGACCCCCTGAAAATCAGAATTAGAATTAGTTATCAGTAACCCATGCTTGTCGTAAGAGGCGATTAACGGTATCTGATGGTCAGACTCACTCACTCACACTCAACGTATCCCAAATGCCTAGATCGATGCTCATGATGTCAGTCTTTGGATTGACTGGTCCAGACTCGATTATGTACGAAGCACCGTCACATAACATTATTATAGCTGAGTGTGGCGTTTAGCAACAAACATACTGACTAGCGGCCCATGTCTTGTGTACCCCGTCATGATAGTGCTGGAACACTGATAAGAGCGGAGGAAGACATATTTACCTGAATATGATGACTTTGAATCTTTATGGAAATATTACAAATATACATTAGAACATTAGAAACTACACGCATGCGTGTTAGAGCAAAAACGAACCAACAATCTGATGGTCCAATTTCTTCACGCAAATACGATTTAGCCCTTTGGACTATGTACCAATCCAACACAGTTAGTCGACCGGAAAGTATTTTCATTGTTTTCGTTTCCCGGCTTCGCGTTATGACAAAAATTGACTTAACGTGTCCCACGGTAATTTAAACAATAAACTTTAAATAATATATTTCAGAAATAACACGTAATAAATATCGATAGCTATCAGTGGCTAACAATATGATAGTATGATAATACTAATGATATAACACAAATGTTTTCGAAACGTATGTGCGATATCTCTTCCACCAACGTTTTAAGAACATGATATTTCTTAAATGTGATCGGGTATGACTTTTCAGCAACATCTCACGTGCAAGATGAGAAAATAAATAAATATCAGAGACTTACAGCAGTCTGGTTATTGTTTGACCAACACTGTATAGGTAAACATTTCTTGTAGAAAATTCATTTTCATTACGCCTCATAGGGTTGGCATGTATCTGGATTCACATTGTTTCTACAAAAAGGAAATAATGCTTTTGGATATTAGGATCTGGAATAATGTTTTAAAAACATATTATAATTATATACAAAGTTTTCAAAATCTTTTAATGGCATGTTATGAATTAATGTTTGGATAACATGTTTTGAATGGTTTCCAAAATGCTATAATGTGAACATCTTTTAAAACATTTTAAATGTTCTTCATTTACCTTTTGCATGTTAAGAAAAGATGAATAAGAATTAGTCTGTGTCCCCACAAGCATTTACAGTACAAGTTCCCATCTGTTTCATTGAATTGTAAAATATTTGAAGGGACACTTCCAGTAAGGCACGTAGAGTTATTTCCCCTGAAAACACCTGTCCCTGCTCGCTCTGCACTATAGTTTCACTGCCAGTCTGACAGGGTGACAATACGATATTGTATTGATCGACTGATCAAATGGTGAAACTGTATTATGAAACGTCAGTAAAATGTTTTGAAAATGATCTGTGCCACCTTGGAGAGAAGATTGTGTTTATCTGATAATACCCCCATCACAACAAACTAGCTCTCAATACGTTCGTGCACATGTTGTCGATCGGACTCCAAATGTGCATGAACGTAGTGGAAGTAGTAGCAACTATTGACAGTCTTTTTACGAACTTCATGGACGGGCTCGGACGGGGAGGGTGCTCTTGAACATTGAGTCTGCTCAAAAGAAAGACATATTACGAACGGAATTGTCGTACTTCGAACCTAGTAGGGACGTGTTACGACGTGGTGCAGTCCGACATAAATTTCAGTACGTGTGCACCGACCGGGTCGACTTCTCTTTGGAGGCATGATGTGTACAGCTCGGAGCTCTGAACTTGAAGAATGGCTACAACGCGCTCGGTATCCATAGGAGTAGGGCCAGCACGCAAATACACACGCACTTGGGACGAGATGAGGACGTACTGCGATCTGAACTGGATACAAAAGGACTGCAGACTGGCTAAGAACGAGAAAGACGTATTGAGGATTGCTTATGAACAAACTAGCATCGTTATTTACGCCAAATTTGTTTACAACGGTGTAGAACGGGATAAAACTACTTTGTTGTGTTAATAGCATAAAGCGTCATGACACCCAACACACTCACTCAAAAACATACTGAGACGCATGTTTTTCTTTTGATGACGTGATAACGATGAAATATCAGCAAGACAGATTATCCAGTGTCACTACAAACATTGACTACTCGTGAAGACCCGGGAAAGAATAGGTCTTCAGCAGCCCATGCTTGCCATAAAAGGTGACAATGCTTGTCGTAAGAGGCGACTACCGGGATCGGGTGGTCAGGCTCGCTGACTTGGTTGGTGCACATCATGGATCCGAATTGCGTGGATCGATGCTCGTGATGTCAATCACTGGCTTGTCTAGTCCAGACTCGATTATTTACAGACCGCCGTCATATAGCTTCCAATAAGGCACGAAGAGTTACTTCCCTTGAATATACCTGTTCCTCCTCGCTGTGCACTTTAGTTTCGCTGCCAGTCTGACATGGTGACAAAATGATATCGTGCTTGATCAAATTGATTAAGTCATGCCAATTATGTAACATAGGTACGTCATCATGGAATATTACAGGAACATCAGCAATCATGGGCGGATACAGCTTTTTTTAATAGGGGGGGTGCACAATTAAGATCTATTTATTGTCTTTGGTGAAGACAGAAATAAAGATTTTTTTTAGAAATAAAAAGGGGGGGGGGGGGGAAATACTCGCACCCCCCTTCTGTATCCGCCCGTGGCAATGCTTCATAAACTGTTTTACCGAACAAAGGTATGTCGGGGCACTAGTTGAAAATATAGGGGTTTGAGTTTTGCCTTGCGCCTTGCGGTCACTGAAGCGGAAACAATTGAAATCACTGAAGCAGAAACAATAGAAATCCGTGTAGGAGTTCGAGAATCACTGAAGCGGTAACAGAAGCAATGTACTGGCTCATAGTTTTCACAACATACCTTGACATTCCTTTCGTTTCCATATAACTTAAAGGTGAAATAGAAACTAGGTTGTTGGAAATTCCCAAATGTGAGCTTAAAAAGGTTGGAATTTGTATTATAACACAGTTAGTCTCTGACATGCAGTGAGAATGGAAGGAGATCTCTGTACAGATTCAGTACCTTGTAAGTCTATTGTGGTGTCCACAGACTGGACCCTGTTTGAAAGAAGACTATCTTCGTTTAAAGACTGGCCAAAGCAAATGAGTCAATCTCCAGTTGATTTGGCCCATGCTGGATTTATCTACTTGAACCGTGGCGACGTCTGCCGTTGCTTTAAATGCAACATACGTCTTAAAGGATGGGAAGACAATGACAACGTTTGGATTGAGCACGAGAAGTGGTCACCAGACTGTGCCTATATCAAAATGGTTGGTGTCATGAATAAAAAGAAGACCACACCTTGTGAAGCAATGAAGTGGAAACTGTGTTAGAAGATAAATATTCAACCAATGACAATACATTATGTTTTCATAAGAATGTCCTATGTTCAAAGTCATCCAATCAGCTTTCTAGAAGTTGTGTTGACAAAGAGACAACAGCACATCAACATGTTCATCCAATAGATTAAAAAAAATCTTAGTTATTGGCATGACATATCATACATTAATGTGATACGTCAGTCATTTTCATTGCTGTACTCGTTTTGGAAGGTTGTGTTTGACTTGCACGATCATGTCTATGCTGATAACCAACAAGTATGTATTTTTCTTTACTAAAAGATCGCCTTTCAGTCAACATTATCCAACGCTTATTACACTTGATGGCAAGACATTCAATTGTGTTGAACAATATTACATGTATAGCAAAGCTTGTGCATTCAAAAGATTTTAGAATGTCCATCCCCTACTGAGCAAAAAAAAAAAAAATAAAAAACCAAAACAAAAAAAACCAAAACAATTTGGATCATGACAGAGTATATTTCTTCTTCTTCTTTGACAGACATCAAACCATGTTCTACACATGGAAGTATGTGATGCGTGAACCAGATCGATTAGACGAATCCATCATCATTCAGTCGTCTCAGTGGTTTCAGGACCGCGAGCAATGTGTTCAAGATGCCAAACATAACTTTCAAGATGACACTAAAACAAGTAAACGCGTGATTATCAAGAAACTGTGGCCAACAAAGCTTCAAGTGGATGAAGTTGATGCAGTGCACACTATCCAACATATCGAGTCTTTATTAACTTTATGCTATACATTTGAGTTAAGTAAGATCATCAGACGACTCTCTACAGAATTTTGCTTTGGCTGCATGTTTGAACAGGAAGGAGAACCTGTTCATACTTGTCGTGACCTGTCTGAAGAGAACAAAGTTCAACACTATTTTAATATGGCCTTGTTGGAAGTCAGTGATGATCACGTGATTGGAAACTGGATAAACCTGATTCGAGATGACCCTGACTTACAGTCCGTGTCTCCCCTTACCTTGTGTCAATATCAATGTAAAGATTACAGAGATGTCTATTTTAAGACACCCCTATGGGTCTCAGAGTTAAGAAAACGTCTTGTAAAAATGTTGCAACTAGAAAGAGTTTTCCAATAAACATAATGTACAATCATATGATCTTTTGTTGTCTCACATATATGAAAGGTATAGAACATGTCTCATGTCATTTGTTTCATGACTATGGATTCGCACACATTACCAACTGATAACCAAAGCAAAGAACTGGAGCAGTATTATTTTACTCCCAAGGAAATTGGTGCCTATTATGGGTTGAATAAATTTCAATCAAGTTTAAAACAGCGAGGTAAAAAGTATAGTCGCAGGAAAGTGAAAGCCTTTCTGGAAGGACAGGATGCATACACCCTTTATAAACCCGTGAAAAGGCACTTTCCAAGACTGAAAGTACGTGTCAACAGCTTGGATGAGCTTTGGGACATAGATCTCGCTCAGGTGACACAGAATAATGTCAGTGTCAATGACAATGTGAGGTATTTGCTGATAGCCATAGATATTTTGTCACGATATCTGTGGTTGGTACCTCTCCAAAATAAGAAACCTGAATCGGTGTTAGAAGGGTTCAATGTCATTTTGAAAGAGGGACGAATTCCCAAAAAGATCAGAGTAGACAAGGGTAAAGGTAAAGAATTTGAAGGTGTTTTCAAAGATTACGTCACAAAGCAAGGCATTAAGCTGATCGTGACACAAAATGAAGACATCAAAGCTAATTATGCAGAAAGGGTGATTCGAACCTTGAGATCTCTCATGACCAGGTACATGACACACAACAACACCAACAAATACATTGATGTGTTACCCGACTTAGTGTACAATTATAATCACACGTACACCGAAGTCTTGGACAATGGACACCAGCTGATGTGACAAAAGCCAATGAAGTGCAAGTGTGGTCTCATTTGTACATGAAACCTCTCCAGACACAGTTGCAAAGCAAACAGAAATTTAAGAAATTTCAATTTAAAGTCGATGACCTGGTGAGAATCAGTTATTTGAAGACACCTTTCAGCAGACAACACAATTTACAATACACTGAGGAGTTATTTAAAATAGTCGCTCGCCAGCGACGCCAGGGGATACCACTGTACACACTTAAAGACTTTCATGACGAAGTGTTAAAGGGGCGCTTTTATGAACAGGAGCTCCAGAAAGTCAACAAAGACATAGATGGTATTTGGAACATTGAAAAAGTGATCAGTAAAAAGCAAGAGAAAGGTAAAGTGTATTACCTGGTGAGGTGGGCTGGATGGCCTTCCAGTTTTGACTCATGGGTAGAGAAGAGTCAGGTACAGAATAAACAGTGAAAAAAACACCAAAAAAACAACAAACAAACAAACAAAAAGAAAAAGAAAAAGAAAACACACACAAAAAACACACACAAAAAACCCCACAAAACATGGATAAATATATTGTGTTTAACAGCTCAGATTCTGAAAAACATTACTTTTCCAGTAACACACTCTATAGTTTTCGTGTCAAGCTATCCCAACGTCTGCACTTGGATGGGACGTGGTTGGTGGCTTTAGCCAAACTTCGATTTGGTAAAGTAGACTTGAAAGACATCAATAACCCAACCATTGACATTCTCTGCAATCTGTGTGACAGTTCATGCGCTGTTGAAGACTACATCCCTTTATTGAGACGTATTGACTTGAGAGATGGACCCACCTATGATTTTCGTCACTGGTGGTTTGTACCAGTGGTGGTGAAAGACACACACGACATAGAAATCTATATGCAGTGTGCACAAGGAACACAGCATTCATTTCTGAAGGAAGACGTGAATGTGGCACTTGTTCTGCGTCACTATCCCTTTGTGTAATCCTTGTCATGGATCAAAGACTGTATATTCCTGATGTCCAGAAATGGATCAAATTCTTTGAACATAGACATCAACAACAGGCAACTAAATCTATTATGAAAGGTCGCCCCAGGAGAACAATGATTCCCATTCTCTCCTTGCAAAAGCAGCTGGATACTCCCTGTAGTAAAGCAGAGCCTAAAATAGAAGTGACGTCACAGAATGAAGATGTTGTGAAACGAGCAGAAGCCTCTCAGAAGCGGAGCAAGCATATAAAGAGGCAAGCGTGAGATAAAATCATCACAACAAAGAAAGTCCGTCGGACAGGTCACAACAGTAAAGGTACCTCTTCCATTCTTCAGTTTAAAGACACACCCACCGTTGGAGAACGAGACGTGTTCACTAAACCTTAACGACATGTCAGTGCTCACCGAGAAACAATTTACAGAAGCGCTACCATCTAGTTTAGACCTGTTTGAATTATCGCCTTATCAGACCAGCATCTTACTGCATTATTATGTGGATGTGCGTCCCCTCTCTGCCATCACAGACACCAGTCCAGTGGAATTTCTCATCCCCGGAGCAGGTAGTGACTATATGGACCTTGCTAAAACAAGACTTGTTGTCAATCTCAAAGTGAAACATACCGACAACACACCCCTGGCTGCTAAAGAGAAAGTCGGACCAGTAAACCTGTTGTTAGCCTCATTGTGGTCGGCTGTGTCTGTCGCTTTTCAAGGGCAGCAGGTAAATATCAACAATGCTGCTTACCCCTACAAGGCCATGTTCAAAACTTTACTGCAATATGGAGCAGATGCTAAAACCAGTCAGCTGGAAACTCAATTGTTTTATACCGACAATGGGGATGATCAATCTGATTGGAACAGTGTCGACCCCTATTCAGGCGGAAACGATGGATTAATTAACAGAGGCTTATTTATCGCCAAAAGCAAACGACTCAGTCTCAGTGGACCTTTGATGGAAGATGTTTTTGAATTTAAAAACAAACTGGTCAACGGAGTCGATGTGGGTATCAAACTGTTTCGATCATCAGTACCTTTCATCTTAATGTCCGACGAGACTACAAAACAGTATGTTGTTGAACTGGAAGATGTCTATCTCAAAGTGTGCAAACTAAAAGTGAACAATGCCCTCATTGTGGCTCAAAGCAAACAATTTGAGTCAGCCAATGCACTGTACCCCTACATGAGATCAGAGATGAAAGTGGCCTCTGTGGCAGCGAGTCAGATGTCCTACACCTGGGACAACATGTATCTGAACAAATGTCCCTCCCGTTTGGTGGTTGGCATGGTCAGAGCAGACGCTTACAACGGAAGTCTCACCAAAAACCCATTTTGTTTCATAGGAGAGGATGTGGAAAAGGTTACCTTGTATCTGGACGGCACACCAGTTCCCAATCGAGGACTGTCGCCGGATGACGTAGAGGCCTATGTGAATATGTACCTATGGAACAACATCTGGAGAGAAGACAGAGGTCTGGGAATAAAGAGAAATGAGTTTAAAATTGGAAATGCACTCTTTGTCTTCAATTTGGAAAGTGCCAGTGGAGACGACGACTATTTGAACCTACTTAAATCAGGTACACTGAGACTGGAAGTTCAGTTTAATAAAGCTCTTACCACCACCATGAACATCGTAGTCATGTCACAAATGCCCTCCTTAATCGAAATCGATCAGACAAGAAATGTGTTTGTCAAGTGAAGAGCACCATGAACAGTCATCAGCTCAGATGTGATGGCAAAGATACTTTATCTGACATACAAACACCCAACACATCAGACACAAGGCTGGGGATGTGTTGTCAACACCGATGTGTCTGCCGGACCCGGACGTCACTGGGTGGCCATGTACTTTCAAGATCATGTGGCTGAATTTATGGACAGTTACGGACATGCTCCCTCTTACTATGACAAACGATTTTTACTGTTCATGAAAAAGTATGGCAAAGTCATACGATACAATGACAAGATTCTCCAGCAAGCTACTTCCAATGTTTGTGGGTTTTATAGTTTATATTATTTAATTCAGAAATGCAGAACCCAAACCACTCTTACAAGTATTGTATCCATTTTTACATCAGATAAACTGCTCAATGATCTGTATGTCACTGACTATATCACTGATTCTTTCAAATACTGCTTGACTTGAACATATCTATAATGCAACATATTATCTAGTTTGTATAATAAAAAAAAAATATACATTTAATAAAAGATATCCTGTATTTTTGTTGTTGTCATTATTACAAGAGATAGTGAATGAGGAAGACATGGCTCGTTACGTGCTGACCCACGTACAATTACCGTTACAATTTTTTGAGACAACTCCTCCTACAAAATGACAACGAACAGACCTTGGACGACATACGCTCTATGACAAGAGGTCAAATTAAAGCGACCAGGGCCATTGTGAAACGATTACTCAATGGACGCATTTCTACAACTCGTATGGAAAACCTTAGATATCTTCAACCCTATCCACATAACAATTACCTGAGGATATTGCGAAGGATCTCCCTCCCAAACACATCTGATGCCAATGTCAAACGTAGTTTAATCAGACATACCCCATTAATTCCCTTTATATTTAAATATGAGCATGTGCGTCAGGTGAGAGATGAAGCACTGATCAATATACAACGTTGGCAACGAGCACAACAATGGAGAGGACCCCTTGTGGCCCGTGCAGCATAAATGAAGCTGCTGTCACCTAATTAGTGGCATTTGCTTTCATACGGTTTCAGTGTCAACATGGAAAGCCAATGCCTCCTTCCATTTCACGTTCCCACCACTATCTCGATCATTGGAGGCACTTGCAGTGGGAAAACGTACTTAACTAAACGACTACTGCTGAATGCAGATACTGTATTTGAAAAATCTCCATACCTCATCGTGTATTGTTACGCAGCTTGGCAAAACCTGTATGAAGAGATGCAAGTGTCCATTCCAAACATCCAGTTTCATGAAGGATTGCCTAAGGAGTCTGATGTCTATGCATGGTCTGAAGCATCTAACAAAAACATGATTTTAGTGTTGGACGATCTCATGATGGATATTGCTCAGAGTAAATTCATGATCACCTTGTATACCACCCTTTCTCATCATCTCGGCATCACGGTCATTAATCTTCAACAAAGTGCCTATCCTAAAGGTTCGAGTGCACGAACACTGAGTCTCAATACGCATATTTTCATTTTGTTGAGCAACCCAAGATCAGCTCATGAATACAAGATTTTAGCTTCACAAATCTTTCCAGGACAAATGAAATATTTTTTAGAATCCTATCGTGATGCTGTTGAGGGTAAACAATTCTCTTATCTTATGATCGACGCCTCGCCCTACCATAAGTCTACTTATGGACGCTTACGTACAGGGATATTACCTGGTGAAGTGTGCACAGTGTATTTACCGAGAGAATAAAAAGTGAGACTACAAAAGAAACAAGTTTCTAAACTGTAAAGCAGTTGTGATCTAACATTGAGATGAGTAACATCTACTCATGGAAGATTGTATCATATGTGACACAGTCTATTGACAAACAAATTCCACATTGTGCTCGGGAGGTGGTGACCTTACAAGAATCACAGTCAGTCTTTTTACACTAAAGATGCATGCTTAAAATCTTTAGAAAAAGCCCTTTCTGAGGAAAAGATACCTGATCGTTTTGGAATACCAGTTGCTTTTTATTTACAAGCGGACAGTGTTGTCAACCACTTAGCCATGGAATGTATACAGGAGAATATGGATTTCCTTCTGATATTAGGTAAAGCCATTCCGTTTCAGAGGAAGGCACTGCTATCGCATTTGACTAAACCACAGTTTAAAGCTATCATCACTCTGGTTTACAATATATTAGTGGGCAACATTGCGCTGGATGATCATCTTAAAAAGAAACTACATCGTCATAGACGAGTCATTCGTGCTATGACATGCAAATCGATCAGTCAGACAGATAAAAAAAAGCTCCTGTCCACTCATCATACCATCCTACCGGTTTGCATAACAGCACTAGAAAATTATCTGTCACAGAAACAGTTCGAATCCAAATCTGACAATGGTTCCCATGGTACTACTGAGGAGGGAGACCTATCGTCGTCTGATACAGAAGACGGACAGGAGTCGATCGAATGCCAGTGAACAATTCTCATCACCAGACAAACCAGAACCCAGTCACAATGCAAGTGGGAAATCACACATGGAGGAAACCACGGCTGAAGAGAGAAATGACACCACTCAAGATACAGACTATAGTGAACAGGATGTCAAAAATTGTGTAGATCAGTCAAGTTCCCTTGGATTTCATTTAGATGAACTCTTGCAAGGGATAAAATCAAGTACTTCTGTGGGAAAACTGGTAGCACTGTGGCAGTATCTCCTACATCAACGTCAACTGGGACGCATTTCATGGAATACTCAACTTGAGTTGACGAGCGAAGATGGAGAAACAGTACAAAAATCCAATATATTGAAACTAATTCGTTACATGATTTTGTCTCCTAAACCCAAAGAGAAAGCACCGCTCGGTTATAAGCAATTTAAAAAAATTCTCAGTGAATTGCCAGATTCTCAACCATTTCTTTCTCAAGTTGGGTTTGGACAAAAGAGAAAGTCAACAGTGTCAGAAAAAAACATGTTTGTTCGAAGTCAACTCAAGTTGGGTGTTCCTGGCATAGGGAAAAAGCTCAAATTTCTGGAAGATTACTGAGAAAAAAAAAAAATAAATAAATAAAAAAAAAAAATAAAAAAAAAAATATAAAAAAATAATAATAATAAAAAAAAATGCTTCATTGTGTAGTGAAACATAAACCATTTTGTTAGAGTCTGAAATAAAAAAAAATAATACAGTGCTGTATCATTTCTGTGTTTGTTATAATTACAAGTGGTGAGCTTCAGAAAGTCCTGAATGTCAGTATGTCTCAATGACTTGTAGAATGAGTAGTTATCTCCCTTAGTTGGAGCCACGTCCCAACAAGTTACAACACGAATGACCTTCAATTCGAATTATTTTATTTTAAAAATATGAAACAGATATAAAAAAATCATTTGTAATTGTAAAGTGATTACATCATGATTTTGAAAGACATTCTCACATATAAATTAAAAAAAATACTGTTCCATTTCACACACACAAACACACAGAAATCAACAGAAATCAACACAATCAATATAACATAATAAGTCCTTTATGATTTCACATCACAAAAAACCCACAAAAAACAAAACAAAACAAAGACGTTGGTCAAAATAACTTGAAATTGACCCCCCCCCCCCCCCCCCCCCCCCCCCAAAAAAAAAAAATGAATATGGAAACAATTTGTTTCATGAACTGATGTGGAAAAAAAAATTGTAACAAAAAAAACCCACAAAAAACCAACAACAAAAAAACCCCAAAAAACCAACAAAAATGAGAAAAAACAAAACAAATGATAAACAGAAAGTATTGGTCTTTCGATATTTTTTTCTTCATAGCGTACAAGCACTGAAATAATGAAAAAGAAAAAGAAAAAAGAAGTTGTTCAAACCTGGAGTGGTACAGCGACTGTCGAACATTGAAATAAACTATGTTTAAAAGTGAACGATCAGTCCAGTTTGGTTCTTGACTTAGAGTGGAAGCAATATTCGCCGTCTCCCGTTGAGATTCACGTTTACATCCTGTTTTTTTGTAACTGAACGACAATTGTACAACATGTCATCTCCCGATGGACATTGCGCCCGAGATTTATTGGTGAGATCTGAGGTTAATCGTCAAGTCGCTGACGAACGGAGAAGAGGCATATGTATCAGACCCTTTCACAGGGAGGACGCTGTAGTCGGAACTCTGGTTGGTTTACTGATGTTAGCAATCACCATTTTGACCATCGTTAATGCGGTTACTATTTCGAATTGGAAAAATTAAAAACTTCACAGCAAATAGACAGTGAACTATTTTTTGACGACCCTCCTATTGAACCAACCCTCAGTCTACAGTCTATCAACGCTTCTTCACAGTGCTCGAACACTCAGTTTGTCTTATCCTATTCAACACGAGCTGTCGTTTGTCGTAGCGAAAATCGCACCGTGCTTGACGTCAGACAGTTTCTGAATGAGAAACCAACAATAAAAGGTATAACGCTTACTCAGGGCGAATGGAAAATGATGTTACGTCTGAAACCTTTCATCCGTGCACAAATCAGATCCATGAATGAACGGACAATGAATAAACGAACACTGCCTGTATGATCTCCATGAACAATTTAAAATTATATATTTGGGCTATCAACAATGGGCTTAAAGACGATGAAAAGAAAAAAGTACTCGAAGTTTACTACACTCATCAATGAAAACCTGCATGCTATAGAATATAACAGTTGTAGCGATATGTACTCGAATAAAAATACTTTCATCTAATGATAGCAGAAATTGCTTGAACGGTAACGCGAAAGCCGAAGGTCCTAAGGAGCGGAAAACGACACCAATAAAATATCACATCGATACGCTACATGAGGATGGTGTCGATATAAGAGTATGTCATACGTTGAAATATGCTTTGTTTTATAGTTGAACATTCATGTGTTTCTGATTCTCTGTGAACGAGTGTTTACATGAATAATATACGTTGTGTTTACATGAATAAAATACGCTGTTTATCACGCTCTGATTGTTTCGTCCTCATTGCTTATCGTTCTTAGATATCGTTAGTTTATCTTAACATGTATTTATGAG